TCGATACAACTCCAGCTGGAGCGGAACCCAGCTTGCTCTTCGCATATGTTCGGTTCAAGTACCAGACTGAATCTCCCTAAGGGCAGAGCGCTGAGCACTTTGGATACAACGCAGATGAGACTAATCCCTTTGTGGTTAACGCAGTATGTCCGCCCAGTATTTTTGACCATAGGCACGATGTCCGCTAAGCTCCAATCGGACGAGATTGCTTCAGTGAGCCAAACCTCTTTTAGGAGGGAAGTTAACTCCCGAACAAGCGATGGACCACCATCTTTGAAAAAATGCCGGAAGGAGTTCGTCTGGGCTAGAGGCTTTATAGCGCTTTAGGAAGCGAAGCTCATGTGCATCCTCAGCCTCGGATGGTAGTGAAGCGTCTACACACCAGGCAGCACTCTGGATTCCTGTGTGAGTACTCGTCAGTGCTGCTCGCCAGTTAGACTACCGTTCAACATGATCGGCCCAACGCACAAGTCGAAGTTGCTGACGGTGGATTGTCTGGCCATTGGTTTCGCACAAAACTTCGCTTGTAGTCGGCCTTTTGCGGTCTGTAGCCTTAAGGTTCACAGCCGGCCTTGCAATCCGAGGGCGTGGGTTCGAGCCTCGATATGTATAATAGGAGATGGAGTTGTATCACATTTATTAAAGTCACTGGCAACAATACAGTCAGAACATTTTAGTTTCTGCAACGATGCTAAAGAAACTTGTTCAACTGAAAGCCTCAGTTCGGACAATGATAATGCAGGAGCAATGTAGAAGTTTTTGATGACAATGGATTGAAAATCACTGAGAAATTTAGGCTTGCACTCATGTAAATGACAATTACTAGTGCTTTTGCCATGAGTGAATCGTTGATTGACTGAGTTTCAGCAGAGTTGGTTAACGTACGTTCTGACGCCGCCACCACGATTCTTTGGGTTACCTGGGCGATCGAACTTAATCCCACGGTATTCAATTTCAGGGTACAACCAGCTTTCTTGAAGCGTAATAATACCTGTGTTTATATATTCCTTTCTTTGTATAAGAGCTGTGAGGTCGTTGATTTTGCCTTTCGATGAACGCACATTGCTTTACCTAAACGTCAATGTCACAACGATCCAAGAGGCCAAGCCAACAGGTGTTGAGCGGGTTAGCCTAGAATTGATTGATCGAGGAACATTTATTTTCAGAAACTGCATGTATGGCTCGGGAAATGAATTGTACAGCAATTTTTCAAGGTAGGACGAATGCCCTGACATAATATTGAGCAAATGGCACAATAAAGCTCGGGGAACTCGGTCAAGACCTCATGCCCAGTATGTCCCAGGCTTTGTGTTGTTGTAGTGAGTGTTTAGTAGATTGCACCTCGCATATGAACATCATACACCCTTATCGTTTCTCGGACGGTGAAAATGCGCAAAACAGTAATATCCAAGCTCGAGAGCCCCAATGACAACAGCTGTTTTGTTGACGCCAACTTGTGGCATCTGTGGTGACGCCGTGACGTTTCACCATTGGTAAAGGACTGGGTCTACAATGCCTGTGTTCGCTCGGTGCTGTTGTACGGGACTGAGTCCTTGCCCATTCGTGTGAATGACTTGCGTCGGATTTCCGCCTTTGACAATGGTTGTCTGCGTAGAATAGCCCTAGTGTGGTGGATGAACCACATGCGCAACGATGATGTTAGACGTCGCGTCTTGGGTAACACGGGACTTCCACTTGACAGACTGGTACTGCTGAGCCAACTGAGATGGCTGGGCCACGTTTTACGCATGTCATGCGAACGGCTGCCCCGACGCGCTTTCTTCGCTCGCACAGGACCAGGCTGGAAGAAATCGCGCGGTGATGGTCAGCCTGTCACGTAGCGACCAACAATTAAAGCGCTGACTTCCAGTTTAGCTGTCGTAGGCCCGTGCGTCTTCCGGGCTGGGGGCTCAAAGATGAAGAACGCCGCTGGCTGGAAACTTTCAGTGATGACGCAGAACCGGGCCAAATAGAAAATGTCTACGAATGTTTATCTTGATTCTTTTGATTTACATCGTAAACATTAAACGGACAAAAAACGGCATGTGAAGAAACGAAAAAGGACAAACAAGATTCAAAAACAAAATAAGCTTTTTGCAACTTTTCTCTTATTCTGTATTTATTACTTCCATTCCATGGTTTTTTTGGCTCTATGTCTATCTATTAGACTGCGTATATATATATATATATATATATATATATATATATATATATATATATATATATATATACCCTTGATTATGACGCGTGGCAGTGAAACCCGCAAGGAAGCTGTCTCGCCGATGCCGCCTTATCTTTGCACGATAGCGAGCTGTTTGTGACGGTATGTTGTCTACACAAGGTGTAGGCGCCTTGACCCTGAATGTTTGCTTATGACACTAAGGTTTTCAGGTAAGTCCCCCTTCTCTCCCTCTTCTTATTCTTTATTTCACAGGTCATAGTGGTTGTATGGCAGGGACGCATCAGTTCAAATGGCTGATGTACTGCTGTTGATGATGATATATATACCTTATTGTTTTAGGTGTGCCGATAACATACAATACAGGAGATTGCGGAGAGTGCAGTTTGTGCGTAGTTTCTGATGGCCGCTGCGTGATCACCGACGCCATATTTATCAATTTTGTTTTTCTAAGATTGGACCACCCGGTGTGCGTTACAGACAGCAATATCCACCACTTAGATAGTAGCGTCCCGGCAGAAGATTAGATCTAACTTGATTGTTGGTGTAGGGATGTTGGTGTAGGTATGCGTGGTACTGTGATGACTTTAGCTCCCCGGCGGCGTAGAATCGTTGCAACTTCGGTGACAATATCATTGTGACGTTTGCAGTGTGCATCATGAGCTACGCTGTAAGATTGGAGCACCTGAGAGGTTGATTCGTGTTGCCCACGTGAACCGCGGCCACTGAGATCGGATGGGGAACGCGGTGCTCTGCCGCTTGCGCCTCTGACTTTTGTGGGAAGGGCGGTTGCGCGTAATTGAGTTACCCTGATAAATAGGCGCGGGAAGACGTGAAGGTTGCCTGGGCCATCGATGAGAAATGGGATGCGTTAAAGCTTGACGTAGAGGGGATCCGTCATGGGTAGTAAGTAACTGAGTCTTCCATGCCTCTTTTGCTGAGGCTTTATCCGTCACAGTTGACCCACCTACGATGAGTGGCGAATTAGCTAGCCGATGTATCGCAGAGGCAGAGGGGTCGCGTATGGCCCTGCTCAGGATGGCATTCGGGTTAAAAGGTGTCGCTCCAATCTATCTTCCCAGGTTAATGGCATCACGGTTGAGAAACTAGGAATGCCTAAGGCGTGGTCAATGATGCATGCATGGAAAAAGGCAACAGCTGTAACCTTGGGTAATCTTAACCATTTGCGAATGTTAGCCCTGATTAATGGTGCTAGCGAAGTTCCCAGGAGTTGCTGACCTAGCTCATCGAGGGAGTGAGGCGGTAGCTTGTTGTGCCCGTTAAAAGGTAAACCCAGGAATCCGTCGATCCTAATTGAAGGTCAGAAGTGTCCAATAACTTTTTCTGCCTGGATCTATCGGTGACGATATTTACAGTTTTATTTTTCAGCTGGTTTGTGAAAACGTCAAATAACTGCACCTCGTTGTTAAAAGTTTACAGTCGTTCCTGTAGTGCATCTTTGTTTTGCGCTGCGATGATCGCATCGTCCGTGTATTCAATATAGCCAACCGGGCCTGCGGGACATGCCCTCAAGCTGCTGGTTATGACTTGTGCAGCGCTTGGGCACATGTTCCAAAGTAGGTTTGATGCGTGCTTATGTGTGGAAAGATTTCACGTAATAACGACCAAGTTCTATTTGTGGACGCGATCCGTGAGGATACACTGTATGAGTTAAATGCAGGCATGCTGAACCCTGCGGGGTGGGTCAGAAGCACGTGCGTACATACACAGACAGAGAACACTCTGTATCGTACAATTTATGCGAAGCCATCAGGTGCAGTGATTGTCGATCAGAAGAATTTCGGACATTGCAACATATTTCATTGCTTGAACAAACGATCGGCGGCCATTGTAGTATAAACCTCTACATGGTCAACATATAGAGGTTAAATTAATAATGACTGTTATGTCTCAAGTGATCAACATACTATTTACAGTGGCGGTCAATATAAAGTGGTCTGATTCCATAAGGTTTACATGCACGTTCACTCTATGAAAAAAGCGGTCAACTTATGGAGTTGGTCAGCATATAGTGATGGTCAACTTCGGAGCTTCTACTGTAATTGTATTCCTGTCCGACTATGTCACCATTACAAGAGGCATAACGCTGTTACATCCTCCTTTTCTCTGATCTTCTGTTGGACCATTTTATTTTTATTTCATTCTTCTTACCTTACCATTGTTATTCTGTGTAGTACTATTACTTTGGCTGTGCAGATGTTGTGTAAGCTCGGCACTTGTGCGCTGTTGTGGCATGTTACTGCAAGCGTTTATCCTTTGTTGATTTAGATCAAAGCAGCTGGACCAAATATACTTTGGTGTTCAAGTCGAACGGGTCGAGTCGAATGGGGCTGCAATGTGCACCACTCCAGTCCCCATATCCCTAACATGGAGGGCCAAGTGATTGTCTCCGTTTGAACTCTACTCCTTGCCCGATCTAGTTGTAGTTCCACTATTTATGAATCAGTGAATATGAGCTACATGTACCATCACGCCATGTTCAGATTCAGTTAAGATACAACCATGTAGGCCTTTTCCGAATGTGTTGCATCTGCTCTCATCTATCGTTGATGATCTTACTCAACCTTTCTCGATTCGTCTCTAGTCATGCACTTTTTTAAAAGCCTTCTGGCGTTGTGCAAGAACGATTGTCCAACTCGAGTGAGATAAACTCATCTTTTAGCATCGCCACAGGACAACTTGATTTGATTCACGTGTTTCTACTGAACTCAACCCTTGTCTGACTATCTATCACCCCATCCTTTATTTTTGCGGGTCTTATTTTCTTGCAGTTTGAACCACCTTTTTTCGTTTCTTTTAGGTCTCCTCTGTGTAACATCGTGCTTATGGTGCAACTCCTTTGTGATGACCTTGTCACAATTCTTAAGCGGTAGTAAGGTGCCTGATTTTCTGGCAGGCCTTACTGGCGGCGCAGTATCTACTTTGATACTGCACCCTCTGGATCTAGCTAAAATACGCTTACAGGTTAACGAAGGCACCGGTGCCGTGAAATATAGGTAAGTGATCTTACTTTTCATTCCTTGTCCTTAGAGCACTTTCTTTCCACCACTGCATACTGGTACTTTAAGCCATTTCTGTTTGATGCCTTCGGTGGTGCCCTTTCATCATCAGCCTGATATTATCATCTAACTAGGATTATTTACGGTTGTGGTTCTTTCATCCATGGCGATTGCAAATCACTGATTTTCACCGGACCGAATGTGTTGGATGTTTCCAACCTCAAACAGCTTCCCAGAGGACTTAGCAGTCCTTGTGAGATGAACACGCTCCGACTTTTTGAGTCGAGCTGGTATCCTAAGAGTTGAAGATAATCATCCTTCTCAAACCATTCTTTTGGTGTGTGCAACCTTACCACACCACTAGCGCTCTTAGCCTCACCGTCAGTGTTCGTTTTTTCTGTTCTTTTTCATGTATCGCAGTATCCAATTTTTATCCTCTTGGCGGTATCCCACTCAACTTGCAAATAGTTCTGGTATGTCAAGCGGTTGATCTATCTTCTGTCGGTCGTCTCACGTTTTCAAAAATCACCTTTTCTTTGCATACGAACGGGGGGACTAGGCGAAAAAGTCCATCCTTGCTGCCTACTGACATATATATATATATATATATATATATATATATATATATATATATATATATATATATATATATATATATATATATATATATATATAGTGCGATGTATGCAGTTAACCGCATACTTTCGCTGAGACACCTAAGGTGGGTCGGTCATGTGAGCCGTACGGATTCGACGTGGATACCGAAACAACTCTTATATGGTCAGCTAAGTACTGGGAATCGGCATGTGGGGAAACCAAAGTTACGTTACCAGGACATGATCAAACTGAGCCTCTCATGTTCTAATCTTGATTGCAGGTCATGGAAATCAAAGGCGGTTGATCGGCGTGCGTGGCGCGATTTGATCACGAAGGCAGTTGACGAAGTGCGGAAAAAAGACTCATACATGCAGAGAAGAAGCGGCAATTGCGGAAGCGGCAAGCACCGATGGGTTGTACTCCATCGACATCGAACGCATGGTGCTGTAGCATATGCGGTCGCGAATGCCTGAGTCAGGCAAAAATAGTGAGCAATAAGCGAGGCCATTCGGAACCACCACCGAAGCGACGACGGGTCCTACAGAGAACGTAGGCAGAACCGGCGCAGCGTTTGTAGGTACGCTGCATTCGATTTACTAACCGTCTGCTTGCATGATGGGTCTCTATTTCAGGTGGTGGATTTGTTATATTGTCTCCTTAATGTCTGCCTGAACTATTTTCTATTAACTTTCACGTGTCTCCCATGTTAAGTGTAGTTACCTTTGGTATCCTTTCCTCGCTTATGACATTTTTGTAAAATATATTTTTTGACGACCTGAACATATAGCGGAGTTTTTGGCAAACAATTTATTTCATACGCTCACATGTTGTGCCCCATGTTGAGTCTGGTGTTGCATTCATTCCCCATCGCAGTTTGGCTAAACCAACTTACACTTAAACCAGGTTTTTTTTAGGCTGGATAAATTTCATTCTATTTTTATTTGTCTGTTCTGCCTGCTTGAATAATCTTCCATTAACTTGCAGACGTTGCTTACGGTAGTCCCGCTAATGGGCATTAAATTTATTTCGTTTGTAGCATCTTTGAAATAATTTCTTGACATTTTGTAGTTGTTGCAGATCCATGGCTAATCAAATTACTTCATGTGCTAACTGAGCGGAGTTATGTCTGTATAGTCGTATGCTTTAACATATATACTTTATTTGATAATGATTGGCTGTTGCTTGATATCCCCGGTGTGGCTGCGCTTGATGTGCATGTTGACAAGGTGCCTACCTGTCTATTACCCACTACCTCGTTCATACTGGCTCCAGGAGACAGTTGGTCGTTGCTGGAGGGGACGGGGTGCACGGTCCTTGTGGCCGTGCAAGGCTCGAAGAGTGGTTCCATGCACTCAGCGTGAAGTGGACTACGGTCCAGCCACCGCCTTGTGTGCGATTGATTTTTTGAATACAGCGTGCTTGTGTTTGCCTGTGAAGGAGTGTGGGCCGGCTCCGTTGATGGAACGTGACTTACATCCACACACACACACACACACACATTATATATATATATATATATATATATATATATATATATATATATATATATATATATATATACATATATATATACATATATATATATACGGAGGGACCATGTCTGGCTTGCGCTGCACCACCCACAGCTCCAACCACACACCACTTCTCCAATCTAAACCGGAAGGAATAAGATCGGGAGGCATGCGGATGGGAGCTACGTTTCATCAACGGAGCCGGCCCACATTCCTTCACAGGCAAACACAAGCACGCCGTATTCAAAAAATCAAGCGCACACAAGGCGATGGTTGGACCGTAGTCCGCTCCACACTGAGTGCATGGAACCGCTCTTTGAGCCTAATATGGCCACAAGGACCGTGCACCCCATCCCCTCCAGCAACGACCAACTGTCTCCTGGAGCCAGTATGGACGAGGTAGTGGGTAATAGACAGGTAGGCACCTTGTCAACATGCACATCAAGCGCAGCCACACCGGGGATATCAAGCAACAGCCAATCACCTGAAACGACAACATGAAATAAAACAAATCCAATAATGCATACAGATACGGTGGCATAACTCCTCGCTACATCAGCATATGAAGTAAGTTGGTTAGCAAGAAATCCGCGATAAAGAAAAGATGTCCACAAGTTAGTTAAAAATGCTACAAACGCAACAAAGTTACCGTAGATAAGCGCAATTAGTGTAAGCAACGTGGCTGGTTAATAGAACATTATTCAGGTAGGCAGAACAAACCAAATAAAGTGGAATGAAATTTAGCCAGCTTAAAAAGATCTAGTTTAAGTGTAAGTTGTATAGCCCAACTGCGGTGAAGAAGCATCAAGAATGCAACATCAGCCTCAGCACCAGTGTAAACCCGAAGGAATAAGACCGGGAGGAATTTGGATGGGATCCACGTTTCATCAACGGAGCCGGCCCACACTTCTTCACAGGCAAACACAAGCACGCTGTATTCAAAAAATCAATTGCACACAAGGCGGTGGCTGGACCGTAGTCCACTTCACGCTGAGTGCATGGAACCACCCGTTGAGCCTAGCACGGCCACAAGGACCGTGCACCCCGTCCCCTCCAGCAACGACCAACTGTCTCCTGGAGCCAGTATGAACGAGGTAGTGGGTAATAGACAGGTAGGCACCTTGTCAACATGCACATCAAGCGCAGCCACACCGGGGATATCAAGCAACAGCCAATCATTATCAAATAAAGTATATATGTTAAAGCATACGACTATCCAGACATAACTCCGCTCAGTTAGCACATGAAGTAATTTGATTAGCCATGGATCTGCAGCAACTACAAAATGTCAAGAAATTATTTCAAAGATGCTACAAACGAAATAAATTTAATGCCCATTAGCGGGACTACCGTAAGCAACGTCTGCAAGTTAATGGAAGATTATTCAAGCAGGCAGAACAGACAAATAAAAATAGAATGAAATTTATCCAGCCTAAAAAAAACCTGGTTTAAGTGTAAGTTGGTTTAGCCAAACTGCGATGGGGAATGAATGCAACACCAGACTCAACATGGGGCACAACATGTGAGCGTATGAAATAAATTGTTTGCCAAAAACTCCGCTATATGTTCAGGTCGTCAAAAAATATATTTTACAAAAATGTCATAAGCGAGGAAAGGATACCAAAGGTAACTACACTTAACATGGGAGACACGTGAAAGTTAATAGAAAATAGTTCAGGCAGACATTAAGGAGACAATATAACAAATCCACCACCTGAAATAGAGACCCATCATGCAAGCAGACGGTTAGTAAATCGAATGCAGCGTACCTACAAACGCTGCGCCGGTTCTGCCTACGTTCTCCGTAGGACCCGTCGTCGCTTCGGTGGTGGTTCCGAATGGCCTCGCTTATTGCTCACTATTTTTGCCTGACTCAGGCATTCGCGACCGCATATGCTACAGCACCATGCGTTCGATGTCGATGGAGTACAACCCATCGGTGCTTGCCGCTTCCGCAATTGCCGCTTCTTCTCTGCATGTATGAGTCTTTTTTCCGCACTTCGTCAACTGCCTTCGTGATCAAATCGCGCCACGCACGCCGATCAACCGCCTTTGATTTCCATGACCTGCAATCAAGATTAGAACATGAGAGGCTCAGTTTGATCATGTCCTGGTAACGTAACTTTGGTTTCCCCACATGCCGATTCCCAGTACTTAGCTGACCATATAAGAGTTGTTTCGGTATCCACGTCGAATCCGTACGGCTCACATGACCGACCCACCTTAGGTGTCTCAGCGAAAGTATGCGGTTAACTGCATACATTACACTTCGACGCAGCACCGTGTCCGCAATTCTGTCTCACCAACCGATGCGCAGAATCCGTCGCAAATATTATTGATGGAACCGCTCGCGATATCGCACATCTTGTCAGTACATCGTCTAAGTTTCACGAACGTATAGAAGAACGGACAGCACCATAGATTTGTACACTATTAGCTTGGTGCTAACGGGTAGCCTATGGTTTTACCACACTCGGTACTCTCGCTTTCTGATTACGTCCGCTGCCTTCGGGACGCTGATACGAAGCTCACTGTGTAGCTGCTGGCTAGTCGACATCCCACGCCCAAGGTAGCATAAGCGGGGGGGAGGGCTGTGCAATACTTCCTCACCAATGCTGATTTGTGGCGCCATTGCAGATTTCACCTCCAGTGAAGGTTGAGAGCGACAGAGATTTTTTGCTTCTGTTGATGCTGAGCCCTAATTTGGCCGCTGTCGAAGCCAGAGCACTAGTCATGTGCTTCAACTCATCCGCGCTCTGTGCAAACGACGGACAGTCTTCAGCAAACAGCAACATACGGATAGTTGTCTCACAGACTAGGGTTCTCGCACCGAAATGACGGATGTTCAGCAACCCACCATCAATACGGTGCCCCACACAGACACCGTAA